AAAACCTTCTTCTTAAATTACATCATTATGGTGTCAGAGGACACTCCCTACAATACCTCAAATCCTACCTTACTGACAGGCTCCAATGTGTTTCTGTGAATAATACAATTTCTCCCACCCTACCCATCAACATTGGTGTTCCCCAGGGCAGCATACTTGGCCCTCTCCTCTTTCTCATCTACATTAATGACCTTCCAAATGCCTCCCAACACCTCAAACCAATCCTATTTGCTGACGACACAACCTTCATTTACTCCAGTCCTGATCCCCTTGCTCTAAATGCTACAGTAAATACTGAGCTAAATAAAGTCCACCTGTGGCTAACTGCCAAGAAACTCACCCTTAACATTGACAAAACTTTCTATATTCTGTTTGGCAATAAATCCTCTAATCAAATAAATCTCAAAATAAACAGTACCCAAATTTGTAACAAATTAGATGGCAAATTCCTTGGCATTCTCATTGACCACAAGCTGAATTTCCAGGGACACATTCTAAACATATCAAAAAAAGTTTCAAAAACTGTGGGCATTCTTTCTAAGATCAGATATTATGTACCACGCCCTGCCCTGGTGACTCTCTATTACTCCCTTATCTATCCATATCTCAACTATGGTATTTGTGCTTGGGGCTCTACTACCCAAAATCACTTACGTCCTCTAATTACTCAACACAAAGCTGCTATTAGGACAATATCCAATTCTGGCCCCAGACATCACTCGGTACCCCTACTCAAATCCCTGAATATGTTAGACATTAAGTCACTGCACATTCTCTCATGTGTACTATACATATATAAAACGCTAAACTGTAATGCCAATCCTGATCTCAAAAGCTTCATAGAAGGTTGTAACAGAACCCATGAGCACCACACCAGAAATAAATACAGTTTTGATATTCCTAGAGTACGACTTAATCAAAACAGAAATGCTCTACAAATCAAGGGGCCCAGAATGTGGAATGACCTTCCCAACCATGTTAAAGACAGTACCTCTCTCAACCAGTTTAAGTTAAAAACGAAGCTATACCTAATAAATTCCCTGTAACCTACCTTACCCCTCTATTGTCAACCCATGTATGTTTTTTTTTTTTTTTTTTTTTTTCAAATCAACGCTGTTTTAATGTAATTTTCTGTAATAATTTGTAATTGTATTTGTGCTGTTTTTTCAACAATGTTCCCCCCTCTTTTACCTCTATTTTTATTTGTACTCAACGCATTTTTTTCTTTTTACCCATTAGTTTTAAGCTTTAGTCAGTAGTGTTTTTTCCTGCCCGAAACGCTTTGCGTAATAGTGGCTTTAGGCATTGTATGTACTAGCTCTTATCTATAAAGCCAACAAACTTTGTAAAATCTCTTTATGTATGTACCTGTGCCTAAATAAAAATTATTATTATTATATTATTATTATTATAGTTAAACCAAGTACTGCCTAATTAACTCCATGTAACCTAACTTACCTCCTAAATGTCAACCCATGTCTTGCTATTTCTTAAACAACGCTGTTCACCAACATGTGCAATTGCTGATTTATGCTATGTTAACCCCCTTTTTGTATTTTTTATTCCTTCTTTCAACACAATTTATACCTAATCCCGATTACTATTAAGTTTTAGTCTGTGTTTTTTCCCCCCACACCTTGCCCGAAATGCTATGAGTATTAGTGGCTTTAGATATTGTATGTACTAGCTCTGCCTATAAATCCAACATTATGTTTGTAAATCAACTGTATGTACTTTTCCTGAATAAAATGTATTTATTATTTATTTTTTAATCAGTAAGTATTAAAAGAAGGCACCAAGCTGGGAAGGCTATGTAGCACCATTGTGTGTAACAATAAACCAAATTTTTTTTAACAAATAATGCACCTGTATGGGAAAACAAATCCTGTCAGCTGTAAAAATATTGATGCAGTTATTTAAATGAAAAATATAATGAAAGAAATATTACTGGTTTATTTTTATCCTATCTTTTTGTACTGTACAGTATATCCAAGGAAGTGAAAAATTGAGACATAATGCACAATTTAATGAATGATTAGCATGGATTAGCAGTTCAAAAGAAATATGACTTGTATTACATCTCAACATGAGATCTTAATGATCCATGGTCAACATGATATAATAAGGATAATACAGTACTGTATTTGTAATAATACAAACTATAATTTAAAATCTTTATTACTGATTTTTTTTTTATTAAGAAGATTAGGTATATACAGCAATGTGCTGCTACCCTATTCTATATGGAATATTACACAGTGTAGATAAAAAACTAGCTATAAGTTTATCTAATACTCCCATCTCACAGGATGGTTAGACATACATGGAATCAAGGTACAAAATACCAGCCTCAATACAAAAAACAAATGAATTCTGACTAAACAACTCTAAGCAATTTTCACAAGAGGTAAGCACTGAATCATGGAAACATTATATTATAATTACTCTTACCAGTTTCTACAAAACTCCTCTCAAACAATGTATTTTTAAACATGTTTAGGTATACACAGCAATGTGCTGCTTCCCTATTCTGTATAAAGGACCACACAGTGTAGATCAAAAACCAGCTACAAGCTCACCCCACATCCTCACCTCACAGGATGGCCAGTCATACATGGAATTAGGAGAGAACAAAATACTTAATGCTGATCTATTAGCCTGCACTGGCAAAATCTGGGTGCAGCACAAGAATATCTTCCAATATTCCTGAGTGTATGAAGTAATTACAGAGCTCAAAATACCTCATACCATTTGGTATGAAGTCACTGATAACAGGACAATCACAGATATAGTGTTGGAGAGTATGTTCTCTCAAGTAGGACTGAAAACATATGTTTTTTTCCACCAAGAGGGCTATAAACCCATGGAACCGTCTACCCGCTGAAGCCGTAAATGCCAAATTCCAGCTAAAAAATATCATTAAGACAATTGGCGGGCCCTTTTACAAGCCGCCGGCTTTCTGTCCTCTTCGAGGTCACTAGATAGTTAGTGGCCCTTGGGTAAATTCAGTAAATATATACAATAATTGTCAGCGCATCTTCCGAGCAACAAGGACAGCTACACAGTATCTCTTAGAATTACGTAGGTAAACAACAAATGTAACATATTTGTTTACTACAATGTCGGTGCTGCCTGTAGAAGTTGAAAAAACATTGTTTTACTTCGAAATATACTAATTTTATAAGAAAATTCGACGTAAATAGGATCGGCAGTAGAGCTCCGATAAGCCAGCGCTAAATCTTCAATATGAAGAATGTTGCTGCTCTCTGATTGGCCAAACGAAACACAGTAGTGACCTCTATCGGCACGCAGGTGAACCAACAATTTTCTTCCTAAGTATACCTTATTGAATCGCACCTAAGCATCTTCTTAGGGCGCACTTAGGAACCTTCGTAGCAAGCCCACTTACGAAGAAATACACAGAGCTTCCTGAATCTAGGTCCAGGTCTGGTTCTATGCTTCCCACAGACACCAAACAATAAATGTCTAGTTGAACAGCCTGACAGCTGAGTGGACAGCGCTTCGGATTCGTAGTCCTGAGGTTCCGGGTTCGATCCTCGGTGGAAGCGGAAACAAATGGGCACAGTTTCTTTCACCCTGATACGCCTGTTTACCTAGCAGTAAATAGTTACCTGGGAATTAGACAGCTGCTACGGGCTGCTTCCTGGGGGACGTGTAACAAAAAGGAGGCCTGGTCGAGGATCGGTCTGCGGGGACGCTAAGCCCCAAAATCATCTCAAGATAACCTCTCAAGATTGAAGAATTTCAGAATTTAGAAAGAGTGCACTGTGCACTCTTGTTGGAATGCTCCCTGACGGCTTGCACCTCAACACACAGTCTAGAAGCAAGCTGGTAAATACTTCCTCTCACATCCTGTGGAAAGTGATAACGTACGGTCGGCCGAGCGGACAGCTCTGGACTTGTGATCCTGTGGTCCCGGGTTCGATCCCGGGCGCCGGTGAGAAACAATGGACAGAGTTTCTTTCACCCTATGCTCCTGTTACCTAGCAGCAAATAGGTACCTGGGTGTTAGTCAGCTGTCACGGGCTGCTTCCTGGGGGTGGAGGCCTGGTCGAAGACCGGGCCGCGGGGACACTAAAGCCCCGAAATCATCTCATGATACCGGTGTTATCTGCGGTGAATAGATATGGTTGTATGGTTTCTTGTTAATAATTACCTGTACATAATATTGAAGTGCATGTGGTGATGGTTTTGTCTAGTGTTGTTTAACCCTCTTTCCCGTTTGGTTGTCTATTACTGCTCAGTTCTTGGTAACTTCACCCTGACTTGTGTGTTAGATCTATGAAGATAAAGGCACTAAGGCCCTATAAAGAGAGAGACAGACGAAAAAGAACCAGAGTTACTGGCTGAGTGAGTCTTTAACACTCCATTATGTGGAAGTAGTGTACCACATCAAATTGTTTGCATGTGTGATAATGGTATGATAGACAGAATACTTAGGAGCTACAAGCACTTTGCCCCAAGAGTGTAACACTTACATGCTGTGTTTACTATATTAACTTGCAATGTTAAATGTGATTCTTGTACTGTGATTTGTGGATTTGTACTCACTGGATGTGCGCGCCCCTTGAGGGCCTTGAAGTAGAGGAGGGTAGAAATAGCCTAAGCTACTTGATCCCTTTGAGATGTATTTTATTGTCTCAGTACTTGAACTTTTACTTGAATGTTATATGCTGTTACTTGCTGTTATATGCCTACCAATTTTCCATTCTCGATGGTAAACAATGATTTTACCTATTTTGCACCTAAGTTTTCAAATAGATTCTTATTAATCCAGAATAACATATATTTCCAAAGTTATATACTAATGTTAATAAAGACATTTAATTTGAATGCTTGCATTAAAGACATTCAGATATGATGCACTTGTGTGATGATTCGTTAACAGTTATCTCATGTTACTTGGAAACCCCAGAGTCGGCAGGCGGGGCGGGGCGGGTATATATGCTGGCCCTGAGGAACACCGGACAGTCACCTGCGTCCTCACCCACCACCGCTGCTTCTCCCGTCACTGTTGACCATCATACAGCTCCAGTGACACTGTTCTCGTCTCATCCAGCAGCCATTAACCGGTTCCTCCAGGTTGGTTGGTCCTTGCTGTGTGGCTTTGATAAATAAATAGTTCAAGTGTATAGTGTTGATACACTGAGTGTTGTCGTGGTGGTGTCCAGATGAGACCGGAAGTGTGGTGATTATCTGAGCTCATCGTTTGTTGTTTACTCCCGTCTTGACACGAGACACCTGTGGCCGGTCTTGGCCTCATGACACTTCTCTTGTCATAAGTTCATCGAATCAGATGACGAGTTTTGTCAATGCTCACTATATTAGTGTTGCCTCACATCACTGGGGGATGTGTTGTGTTGTAAGCTCACTACACAAGTGTTGTGTGGTAAGCTAACTACACCAGTGTTGTGTGGTAAGCTCACTACACCAGTGTTGTGTGGTAAGCTCACTACACCAGTGTTGTGTGGTAAGCTCACTACACCAGTGTTGTGTGGTAAGCTCACTACACCAGTGTTGTGTGGTAAGCTCACTACACCAGTGTTGTGTGGTAAGCTTACTACACCAGTGTTGTGTGGTAAGCTCACTACACCAGTGTTGTGTGGTAAGCTCACTACACCAGTGTTGTGTGGTAAGCTCACTACACCAGTGTTGTGTGGTAAGCTCACTACACCAGTGTTGTGTGGTAAGCTCACTACACCAGTGTTGTGTGGTAAGCTCACTACACCAGTGTTGTGTGGTAAGCTCACTACACCAGTGTTGTGTGGTAAGCTCACTACACCAGTGTTGTGTGGTAAGCTCACTACACCAGTGTTGTGTGGTAAGCTCACTACACCAGTGTTGTGTGGTAAGCTCACTACACCAGTGTTGTGTGGTAAGCTCACTACACCAGTGTTGTGTGGTAAGCTCTCTACAGACCGTTGGAAAACTTTCTGTATATTACTGACAAAAGGGGAAGTTGTGCGACCATCGCTGAGAGCAGAGTGGGCTCGGAGAGTGAGTGGTGCCATGAACGACCTCGTCGGAGGAGTGAACGAGGCAGTTTGAGGCATGCATGAAGCAGAGATTACAACACCGCTCACCTGTGGATGTTGGACTCGAGTGCGGCATCAACCTCTTAAATCCAGCTCCCACAGGAAAGGTAGATAATCTGAGGAGCTTGTTGGGATTTACGCCTTGTTCTTGAACCGTTTGAGGTAGTCGACATTTTTCTTTTTCCTAGAACACGATCCGACAAGCTTTCCACATCGAAGGACTATTGGCAGAATAATCCCGGCAACCCGTCCTCGACTCAAGTCCATTACATCTAGCGGTCGATCCCACAGATGCATTCATAAATTTTTACATGCTATTCATTCAAAACGGGAATTTTCTCAAATATAAATTAATATTATATTATATTAGCATATTGTGCATATATATGCATAGGTTAGGTTAGGTTAGGTTAGGTGTTTAAGTTCTGTTGACGATTATTTGTATTTGTAGTACGTGGGGTTGAAGCATTTACAGCGTTGTGGTTCGAACAAAATTCGTCAGTGAAGCACTTGTTCCGGAAGTGATCTGACGAAATCAGTTGTGAGTCATATGTAAACCATTTTTCAATCATAAACCAGCCCGTCCTCCAAACAAAGACCCAAAAGTGATTCCATGCACTCACCAAACCCTCTGTTTATGAATGAAAAGCAGTTTACACGCGGCTCGCAATTGATTTTGTTCGAATAGTTCCGGAATAAATGCTTCACTGACGAATTTTGTTCGATCAACAACACTGTAAGTGCTTCACCCACGTAATACAAATACAAATAATCGCCAACAGAATCTAAACACCTAACCTAACTTATGCCTATATGTGCACAATATGCTAATATATTATAATATTTATTTATATTTGAGAAACTGCCCATTTTGAATGAACAGCATGTAAAAAATTATGAATGCGTCTGTGAGGTCAACCGCTGGATAGAATCGACTTGAGTCCAGGACGGGTTGCATAAACAGGGTGTTTGGCGGGTGCATGGAATCCCCCGCCAAACTCAGGTCTGAGGTGGAGTATCTCTAGTCTCCAAGATTCCAACTCCACCTCCTTCTTCTTCTTTTTCTTGATTTAAGTGTGAGACTGAAGCCTGCTTGGTTCACAGGTCCCACCTCCACCTCTCCAGGTACCGACAAGCTAATCAAACTGAGCTGTGCCTCACGGCCTAGCCACAGATGCTACATAATGTATATGGGATCAATGTGGGTATTTCCCTGGAAACACAAACCGAAACTGTCCCTATTTTCCGCTGGTTACAACTTGTAATAAAGTTGTTACATCTTGGCTTAACGTGTTTATGACGTATTAGAACGTTGTTACAACTTGCTATATTGGTTGTTATAACTGGTTAGGTGGTGTTAAAACTTGTTCGAACGTTGTACCAATGTCGTAGTTTCGGTGCGTGTTTGCCGGGTTACATCTTTCACTCACAAAACATGTCTCCTCGTGCACACTCGTCGTCCCTGGGACCGCGGGTGGGTGACCACTGTGGTACTTCTCCTTGTGCACACTCGTCGTCCCTGGGACCGCGGGTGGGTGACCACTGTGGTACTTCTCCTTGTGCACACTTGTCGTCCCTGGGACCGTGGGTGGGTGACCACTGTGCTCCCAGCAGCTTTGACTGGCCAAGGTTCTTGAACCACAGGCGGGAGGTTCATTGTCTTCATTCCAAGGATGAAGACATTAATGTTGCAACTCACATAAATCATAAACTCTGTCAGGTGTGTGAGGTGGTCGTCAGTGATGGCGGACACGACCAGTCACGTGTCACGGACACATCACGGCGTCCCTCGCAACTGTTGTAGTCGAAGTACGGCTGCGTTCTTGACACCGTCCTGGTGCTATTTACTGTTAACCTATGAATGGTTATAGGTTAATGACAATATCATCATTGATAAATTGGGCGGCACTGCTCGATGTAGCCAGGCTCCTATTAGACCACGTCACTTCTTCCTTGGTCAGTGGCAGGCGCCTGTCTGTCTCCTGTCGATGTCCTGCTTAAAATTATCTTTTAAGATCATTTTAAGCAGCTAGATCATCGACCGACTTAAAGGCCTGCTGACCAGCTAGCCTCGACGATCCTTTACATGACTCCACCAGTCAAAGATTAGCATCTTCATTGCCTTTCCAATGATTGGATCCTTCACATAAGTCTTATGACATCACCAAGGGCAAGTGGATCCGTATACCGCCCTGGCTCCCAATGCCGAGGATAGCTACTATCTAATTACATTTTATTTATTTATTTATTTATTTTTATATATACAAGAAGGTACATTGGGTTTATGAGAGTACATAGCATTGATGTTTTTACATTCTTGTAAAGCCACTAATACGCATAGCGTTTCGGGCAGGTCCTTAATCTAACAGATAAATTTAAGTGGGTAACTTGTAGCAAAACTGAAAAATGTTAACAAGTACATTGTAAGAAAATTTGAAGAAAATTAGTAAGTACATTACAGTGAAATTTGAGGATTATCAACAGGTACATTGTAGCATAATTTGAGGATTATTTTACTACAATGCACTAATATTAGTACATTGTAGTAAAATTTTCATTCAACATAACAACCATGATATAAGATGATAGCAGTGATTACAATAGTGAAGTTGTATGGCTTAGCCACATATATTGGGGGATTGGGTAGCACAAGATACAGTGTGAGTTTAAAGCACTAGGTAGGGAACTATGAGGATAAAATTAGGTACTTCTTGGTTTTACTTTTGAATAAGGCGTAGGTTGGACAGACTTTCAATTCGTTAGGGAGTGAGTTCCATAGACCAGGTCCCATTATTTGCATAGAGTGTTTACAAGATTTAATTTGACTCTGGGGATATCAAAGATATATTTATTTCTGGTTTGGTGATTATGGGTTCTATTACATCTGTCAACGAAGAGTTTCAGATGAGGATTTGCATCTAGGAACAAGTTTTGTACATGTAAATGGCACAAGAGAATATGTGGAGTGAGTTTATGTTTAGCATATTTAGGGATTTAAACAGGGGGTTGTGTGTTGTCTGAAAACAGAGTTTGTTATTGTTCTGATAGCAGAGTTTTGCTGGGTGATGATGGGCTTGAGGTAGTTTGCAGAAGTTGAGGCCCATGCACAGGTACCGCACGTAAGATAGGGATAGATTAGTGTGTATTATAGTGAGAGGAGAGCAGAGTTTGGAACATATAGTTCCAAATAATTTGAGAGTAAATTTGTCAAACATGAGCGGGCCTTATTAAAACCATGCTGTAAAACCCTCAATGATCTCTTAACATAAAAATACGTGCATTTTTCTATTATCAATTCATGCAATTTACCAACAATAAATATTACATTAGTGAACAGAATAATAGAGCGACGCAAGAGATCTGTCTCTTTTCTTGAACATTGGCATGGAAAAATCTTCAAGAATGCTTAGGGCCTGCAATAGTGTTTGTTTTTACAATTCTTAATGAATATGGAGTTCTAGGAATCAGGGCCTGGTGCAGAGTGCATAGGCATACTCTCTATGACTTCTTCAAAATCCAATGGGGATAGGGCGACATCTGATATACAGTATATGGTTTGATTTTGGTATCACATTCATTAAAAATTTGTTTGGGTTATCACTCTTCACTGTGATTAGTGGCTCACTGAAAACAGATTCGTATTGATTCCTACGTATTTCACATATTTCTTTGTTGTCATCTGTGAAAATTCCATCTCCCTTTTGCAGGGGCCTGATACTAGCTGTGGTTTTTGTTCTAGAATTTGCATAGAAGAAAAAATATTTTGGCTTCCTCTTTTACACTGAGGGTCTTTTGCTCTCTTTGCCTCTCCTGGATTTTATCATTCTTGTAGTTTTAGTTCAATGATTTTTATTTCTCTACCTAGTCTTCGTCGTGCTTGAGATAGGGCTGTTCCAACTGTTCCACGATCCGTTTTCTTCACCTATAGGGGAACACCATTCCCGTTCCAATCTGCATCTCTTCCTCTTTTGTTTTCCTTAGGGGTATATGGATTGTGCCATACACCCATAAAAAAGGGTTGTAGCTCAAGCCACATACTCCAAACAAAAATTAGTTTTACTAAGAAGAACTAGTGCTAGTGAGCTTATTTCTTTCGTGCACTACTTCAGGTTTGCATTTCCTAGATATTCATCTCAGCTGATTTCTGTGAGGTCTTCGTTTATTTGTTTCCAGTTAATCTGCTTATTATTAAAATTTAATAAATTTTAATAAATTTAATAAAATTTAATTGAAGTCTGAACTTCAATTAAGTTGTGATCTGAGTAACAGGTATTTGTAATCATTATGTTCATCATCAGTTCATCGTTATTTGTGAAAATGACGTCCTGCGTGTTCTCTTTCCTAGATGATTCTACAATTTGTTGGTTTAAGGCAAATTTGTCACAATTCTGGATTAGATAATTTGCACGTGACTGTTCATTTAGGCTACTTCCTGGTATTCTCTCGGATATAACTATTAGATATGTTTTTCCATTTCAGGTGCCGTAAATTGAAGTCCCCAAGCAGAATGATGTTTGAGGTTGGATTTGTGAGGTGTTCTTAGCAGTGTTCTATTTTCATTAGTTGGTCTTTAAACTGCTGAGAATTTGCCTCTGGTGACTTATATACATGCTTATATGCAGGGACAATAACCACATTTAGGATCTCAATTTTTTTATTATCAGCACTTCCACCATATCGTTTGTGGTTATTAGCAGCTCAGTTATTGATATACAGCAGTCTTTGATGTACAGGCTGACCCAACCCTGTAGTCTGTGTTTCCTGTCACATGTCAAAAGATTGTACCCCCCGAATCAATATTTCATTAGCATAGTAGTCCTTTGTGAGGGTTTCCTTTATACTAGTTTTTTTTTTTTTTTGCAGGGATATTCCTGCGCGGGCCCTAAGCCTTTGGCTGGCCCACTAAGTGTTGCTTGTTTCTGTTTTACTTGGATGGAGTATGAGTATTTATTACTCGTATGGTCGCTTCAGTTTTATACTATTTGACAGTATAATTATAAGGTGTGCAGGATAGATGTAATTGTTAATGTAATAATGTCCATGAGGTTGTGGGAAAATTGTCAGGATTGATATAAGAGGAGAACTACTCAGAACTTGTACTGTACTA